TAAGTTGATTGTCTGCCAGGCGGGCCGGGACTGCTCGACTTTGCGTCAAATTTCGGGGAATGCTTGTCCACTGTGAGTTCCAATGGCACTTCGGGTCTGGGTTCCGGTTCCTTTTTCTCCTCGTCTTGCTTCGGCCATTCCCGTCGCCACTCGGTTTCGTTTTCCGCAAAGTATTTGTGGGCGCGACGCTTGAAACGTCTGTGGTACTGCTGAGGGCGACAACCATGCCTAGCGTTGACAAACGATCTGAGCATTTCGCTGAAGAAGAAAGCATGCGGCTGAAGAGGCAATGCGCTATAAAGGTATGGTGGAGTTGCTGCCAGGAGACGTGATACAAGTTCGGTGTTCCTCAGTTCCCTGACATGGGTCTTAGCGGCCTCCGTCGGTTTCTCCTCTTGAACAGAATTCATTTTCTGTAACAAAATTAAAATCATTTTAATTTTTTTCCCACTATCTTTATTATTTGAGTGTCATCAGGGGCTCGACGCGAAGGAGATGCATTTCATTGAGAGTGCATTCACTTGAATAGGGGTGGCACGAAAGATTTTTATACGATGCGATTGGAATTTTAACAGACACTATTAAGAGGTATTATATATTTTTTTAACATGACTAACATTCTTCATTTTATTTAGGTTGGTTATGTTTTTCTTATGCACTGCACAATAAATAAATTCAACAGTAAACTTATATCTTTGCTTTCCTCAACATCTTTACCATATTGCAAAAATATGTGACAACCGAAAATATATTTGACAAGGCTTTGCATCAATGTGTCCAAAATTTTACTAATATTAAGTATATTTAAACTATTTTAATATCAATTTGTCGAGAAAGCATATTGTTAAAATTCGTAACGTTAATAATGTTATCTTCAAATAATAAAATGTTAAGCAGCGATATAAAAATCGCACGGTATAACACGCTCCATGCTTGCACTTAGGCTGAAATAGTCGGTCGGTGATTATGGCCGGCTCCAGCGAACAATACGTCACCGGTATATCTACACTTTTACAACGCATATAACTATGCTTTTTGTATGGACATGGAAATAACTTCTATTGATCTGCAGACTTTACATCATTAAGAGACCAACAAAGCTTTGAGTTAAAGAAATTCTGTATATTGTATTTGTACAACGCTTTTTTTTTAAATAATCCTGGTATCTAACAAATCAGCCAGAATGAGATCTTTAAAATGACAGCTATGATTTGTGATTTGTTTTAATCTAATTGTAAGTGAATAAATTAAAAACGTGTATAAAATTAAAAATTGAAATCGTTATATATTTTAGTGGATAAGTTGCCACATTTATAGATTTTTATCTCCAGTAATAATCTAAAAATTAAATAATAAAATAATTTGAACGCATTCATCTTTTTACAAAGCCATAGACAAGAGTAGAGTCGGTATTGCGTATGTTTTGTTTTTAAAATCCGATATGTACGCCAGACTGTATTGATGTCGGGTACTCAATGTCGGCTGTCGACATCGATTTTTCAGCTCAGCGCTGTTTTATTGCCAATATTCCAATGATACATCCGTATACAGACTGATGGGAATTTGTTTTGGCATGTTTTTGATACACTACATTCGAATATTATTCTTTAAGATACTTTGAAATGGACGAAATAACTTCTAAATTATTTTTACTTTCCTGAGACCATATAAAAAAGACGGCTTAACTCACATATGATCCGGTGATGGCACCGACTAGTTTCGGACGCTGAAGATGGAACACCGACGTGTCGAAACTAGTCGGTGCCGTAACCGGAAATCATAAGAGGGTTAAGCCGACTTTCATTTCTTTCTTCATAAACGACACTAATGTATATCTAGATTAGAAACCAAAAATGTATATATTATTATTGTATTGTCGAAATTATAAAATTATAACCTAACATAACCTAACCAAGTACCACTCAACAGTTAGATTTTATAAAATTATCTTGTGGTCGATGGTTCGAATCCCGGCATTCGACTATTGTCGTGGACCATATTTAGCACAAGCCTAAAGCTTACTTGGAGTGGTTAAAGGAAAAATTAGTAAATTAAAAATACTTTTATTTAAAAAAATAATCCACCAAATAAAAAATAATACAAATCTTTCCTCTTTATAATGTTATAGATATAGATTGATTTGGATGTTTAATCACACGAGAACAAAGGAAGCCATACATAGATATATTAAGGGTTCGTCAAATGATAGGAATTAAATGTCACATTAGCATAGCATTGAACGAGTTGAGTGAAAACGATACATCGGATTTGCGTGACAATGGGTGGCGTGGGGTGCGGTGGTACACAATAAATTCAGAGTGGCGTATCTCTATTCAAACAGTTGATACGAAGCGTGAAGCGGGATGGAATCTTACATGCGCCGCGCCAAACATGACGGCTGTACATTCCACCCCCAACCTCCCCGATGCCTTTTATACCATTTTTGTAGTACTTACAAATCGCGTTACATGTAATTCGATAAAGATTTATAAAATTAAAACTTTTTTATTTTCCCAACACAAATTTAAATACTATAATGTACCCAAAATAGATTTTGCTAACATTACAAATGCGAACGATTAGATAGGTGGACGTTAGAGTTTGTCGCCTAACCGCTGAGCATGTCTCGATTAAAGACACATAATGGCTACTTACTTTGTTTGTAATTCCGCAGACGGAGTTGCAGATAAAAGCTAGTATTAATAAATCTTTTGGAAAGATGTTGCTACTTTGTTAGACTTCAATAAAAAAGTAAAAAGCTTCCCGTAAGTCCTGAGTACCCAACTACTCGCAAAATTACCAACACCGAGGCAGAAACACCAAAAAAAATCACTCCACCATTTTAAAAGAACATAAAAAATTCAATTAGGCATCCGAACAAGAGGTACAGTAGCGACGTCGAATGCAACGGAAATTCAACGCCACTATAAAAACCATAGCATTTTAAACCTTACGGCTGACATGTTACTGTCATATTGCAAAGTACGGTCTAATAAAAGCAAAGAGTTTTTGTACTTTTTAAAATTAAAAACGTCTGCGTCCCTTTAGCGGCGTATTGTTAAAGGAGGCCGCGGCGGCAATTTGGCGGTAAATAATATGATTGTGGAGGTGTACGGCACACGGCGGCGAACGTTAATTTCCATATTAAAATCGTCACAAAGGAAGCAGATTCAAAAACGTAGCCGGTGGCTGGCGGCGCACAGATATCGCGGAGTAACGAACGCGTAGAATTTTGGATGCGGCATTTAGTGGATTAATAAATTTAATGCTGTGTTCAAGATTTATTTAATGAA